TTTTTTTTTTTTTTTTTTTTTTTTGTTTTGCGCCTTGTTATTTTTGCATTTTCGCGCAACATTGATTATAATGACGACAGTAATTTTGACCAAATGATACATCAATTACTTCAGTTTGACTGCATCAACAAAATTTTTCATAATAATTAACTTCAAAAAAATTAATTTTTTTAATGTAAAAGCTAATTTACTTTTTTTTTTTTTTGGTTCATCCTGATTACTGGAGAAAAATATTCCGTATTTTTTTTCAGCATGTCTCATCTTTGTATTCAATCATTAAACATTACTGCGAGAAAAAAAAATAACAACAAATGTTTAGGATCGTATATGGTAGCAGTTTTTCAGAATGTTTCAAACACTGGAAACTTTTTCCTTCTCACTTCTAGTCGTTTTTTTTAGACTTAGAAAAAATTATTGTTTTTTTTGTGTTTTTTCTTCTGTTGTTTTTTTTCTTTTCTTCAAACTATATCAAAATAAGGTCTGCGTGGAAAACAAAATCCAAAATTTAAATTACGCTTCAAGAAGGAAAGTTAACTGAGTTGTTTGGCAACTTGCAGCTATGTGGATTCTGCCCCCACGTCGTTCGTAACAACGATATAGTGCTGTTAAAGAGAGGCTTCTTGGCTGCAAAAAGTTCAAAAAGTGTCTGTTGAAGCTGAGCCAATTTTTTGCCTACAGTAATCGTTTGTAATGAATGCAAACAGTGTTATAGGCGGCTAACGAATCCTCTGTCTGAACGGCGTATCACTTGGAACAGCTCTAATCGCCAACCGTGTTACATGTTAAATCTTTGCTCTGCTCGCCAACTGCAGACATCAGTTGATGTTGCAGTATTTCTATTAAAAAAAAAAAGAAAAAAAAAAGAGAAAAATAAATATTGGTTTTTGAAATTATAACAAAAAAAAATTGTTGAGCAAAATTCTCTTTTGAATGAAAAATGCCGCTGAAGAAAAAAATTAGCATAATTTTTGGATTGTATCGAGCTAATCCGCAGTGAATGATTATTGCATTAGATATGCCATATGCCATAAATGCCACTGCTGAAAGAGGTTTTGCATGGATTTGGTCCTCTTTTCCTCCTTTTCCTCTTCTCCTCACCCCCCTCCCTCCTAACACTCCGCTTTTTTATTTATTTTTTTCTTCTTTTTTGCCTTTCCTCCTGCTGTCACTCCCGTTGACAAAAATTTACTTGGCACAGCGCACAATATGTTGTATGTTTTTTTTTTCTTCTTTTCCGCTTGGAACTGAAAAAATACCGCTAAATTATACTTTCAACTGTTCTGGATTTGTTTCAAAAGCACAAATTTGTCGCAAGGAACAGCGGCACCAAACGAGAAAATTTTGAAGCAAATGCATCAAAAGAGAATTTTGATGTAAGAGTATTATTTTTTTGAAACTAACAATAACCCTGCCACTATTGAGTGCTCAAAATGTAACAAAAATGACAATTTTTAATTTCCTAGTAGTATTTGAACACTTAGCTCTTCGTAAACCTGCCAATTTAAGACTTGATAACCATTGTTGGAACTGCAATATTCCAAGTGGGTAAATGTTTTCAAGTTTTTATATCTTTTGAATGGTACCTATTTTTGTGGATGCATTGCAGAAATTTAGGAGTGCTTAGTTATACTGCTTAGTAATACTGACGATTCCTGAAGTCTTAGAAAGTAAACAAGTTTTAGAAGATTAACAAAAGAAAATTTTTATAAGTGCTAACAGTTTTAGAAGAAAATTGTTGCAGAAATATGACGAGGTTTAGTTAAAATTTAAACAAGCATTTTTTTTATTCTAAAAACTAAACAACAAACCTTGATTTAGGCTACAATTTTCGCTACAGATTTGAAGACAATTTTGACTGATTATCAGTCAAATGATGTATCAAATCAAATTTATTATTTGATTGAAATTTCAAAGCTATCAGAAAAAAAAATGAGCTTTAACATTAAGGGAAAAAATATATTATGCAATTTTGGCAGCAAAAGAAGTAAATCAGATATTGGTTTCATAGTCTAATTTGAGAAGTCTCTTGAGTATGGCCATTTATAAAAAGCTGAAAATCTATCAGTGGTATT